CTAAGCACCACCAGGACAACGTGCCACCACGACAACCCGCCACCACACATTTTTCCGAGGTGGCGGGTTGTCGTGCACCCTAGAGTCAACGTGCCAACCCGACAACGAGCCACCACGTCAACCCGCCACCTCAAACTTCTTCTTCTTTTTGATGGCGGGTTGACTTGGTGGCGGGTTGACGTGGTGGCGCCTTGGCGCGTTCCCGTTTTATCTATGTTAAAAAAGAAATAAATTTTCTTTATAACCAATGGCTAGTCTATTGACACTGTCGACACTTTATTACTCTATACAAATACGGAAAACATCTGAAAAGATACCAAACCTCGGAAACATCTGTGTAGCAGAAGCTAAACCTACTAAACCATTTTATTATTTTATCTAAATTCTAAAGTCAAGACTAACCTATATTCTTGTTTGGTGGTTTGGCCTTTTGCCAAAGAGTGTGTGACCTAACAAATTCTCGAATGCCTATTTAGATTTAAATACGTTTACATATATTGGTTTCAAATTAAATAGGGTAAACACAGTATATTGTAACATTCAAAACAAGTTTGAAAAAGATGGCAAAAAGTATTTCCTTATTTTTATCTAGATCATTAATGGTAGGTAGGCTAGTGTAATTAGGATATGTTACTTTTGGAAATAATTTATTCATGCTGGTCTTTACAACAAAATATATTAGCTTAATTACACCCGTCAGTTAAAAACATTCAGTTTACATTCATTTTGTCCTAATAAATAGTTTCCTAAGTATTGTTGGTTGTCTTGCAGATAGGCTAGACGCTAGAGCCTAGTTTAGATAAGCAGATTTAATTTGTTTAAGGCAGAACATTGATAGGACCTGACGTATCCAACTCCACTTGTTAAATCGATTGTAAAAACCATTTTTCCTTGTATAAGTAGTTAGGTACTTCGTAACACAAGTGTGCAGGAATGGAAGTAATGTTCACATATTTTTTTTGTATTTTCAGACAGTGAAGCCTCATGTGCCGATGATCAAATTCAGAAAAGGAGGGTCTCCACAGAAACACGCAGAGGGTATAGAATTTACAGATTACGTCAAGATCTAAATTTCATTGACAATTTTTTTTTTTTGTCACTGTGCCACAAGCAATTAAGTTAGTTGGGGAGAGGATACCAATCTTAGAAATGTGGAATCTGTGTTCCTACATAGGGTATCATTTTGTACAACTAGGGGATAATGTTGTTTGTGTCTGTACCTAAAAGTCCTTAAGCTAACTTTACTTATATCCCCTGAGTGTCGTGCTAAACAAACTACAAGTTATGGTGGTTTAACATTTATTATACACCTGTGATTTCATCAGATTTGAGATCATATTTAGTTACAGACTTTAAAGAAAGATAATATCAAAAATCTGCAGTTGCTTTAATGATTTAGCACCTTTAATTTAGTCTTGAGCAAAAGAATATTTTTTACCTGAATTGTATTTTACTTCTTAAAAGCTTGAGCTCAAACGACACGAGCACTCTTGCCAATTAGCATCCCAATTTAATACAATACAGTAGCACTATCTAATGCCAAAGTTTGCAGGCCTTTACTGGGTTCTGAAAACGATTTTATTTAAGTCAGCAGTATTTACTGTAGCAGGTCACAGTTCGAGTCCTCCAGTGGTGCACGCCGCTGCCCAGTCCAAGGCTGCGTCAGGTCGTGTGGTGTCTCGTCCAATCATCGAGGACTACCAACTACCTGCTAGATATCGCAGACACGGTCTCGACCAGGCGGAGATTGATGCTATCAATGTAAGCTTTACAATTTTTTTTCTTTTACCACTTACCACTTTATTAGGCATAGGCCTACTGATGTTTTTTTCACCTTGTTAGGTTTGTAGTCACTACTGTTTGAGTGTAATTGGTGCTATTTTTTTAAATATCTATATCTGCATCAGTAAAAAAAGGTTTTTAATCAAAGTTTAGGCTTTAGCTATTTTGAACTAGATTACATTAATAAAATAGATTAAATTTAAATTTTCCTCCTAACATACTTTTTAGAGGAAGTGCTTTCTGATAGCTGGTATAATTTATGATTCAAAACTGGTTTAGTTCCAGTTTCTATTGTAATCAGAAATGTAAGGACCAAAAACCCTCAGGCTAAGTACAAAAACAATTTTGTACTTGAAGTTTTCTTGGCTCAAGAGCTACACTTAAGGCTATATTTAAGCTGTCGGATATTTTTTTACATAATATTTGTTTCATTAGCATTTTTCCATTGAAAGAGTGGAGATATAATTAATATCCACTTAATATGTGTTATGATCCCAACTCAATTCGACAAACTAAACTGGACATTACTTAATTATGGCATCGCCTTCATACTGTAAACGTAAAGGGTTGTTAAGGGTTTTGCTTACGGCCTAGGTAGTGTTGAATCACTAAACGCACAGAGTGTTTTTTGTTCAAATTATTTTCTTCTTTCTTTTGACATCTTTATTCTAACACAACCATAGATCATGACAAGGAGTCTATTTCTGTTATGCTCCGGTCATTTTGGCGGTTTTACGGTAAGAGATTTATACCCTCCACTTTTGATACTACCGTTAAAACAATAGCTCAACAGCTGAGATTTGCCAAAACATCAATTTAGCTGCGACATATACATCGAGCAAAAACATTAGTGGGAGATCTTCCCCTCAAACCTCCTAAATTTTGTGAACAAAAAAGCTGTTTTGTAAATTTTGATTAATATTCAAAGCTTTGACTAACAAGATTAATTTTTTGTTGCAGAGTGGTGGAGCATTTTAACCGCCTTGCGAGGCACCCACCATACCATAGTATGACAGGACTGAATTGAATTCACCTTTAAGTATTCTCCTTGATTATTTAAGTATTTTTTGTTAGCTAAGTAACTATTTCAGCTACTTAAATGTAAATTATTATTGTGTTGTTAATAAAAATGTTTTTCGAAGAAATCTGTCCTTTGTTTGGTTACCAGCATGCTTTTTGGCAATGATGATTTTGAATATTAGATGCCTTTTGGTTAGGAAAACCTGAACACTACATTCAGTTATACTCAGGTGATGTTTGATTTTAAATTGTATGTTACTGAGAGTTAGGTCTGCTCCATAGTACATGCAAGATTATCAAAATTGATTGTTATTGTTTGGTTATAGTGCAACAACTTACATACTGACTCGCCTATGTGCCTTATACCATATAATTATACTTCTCTGTAGTGATGGTCAAAACCGAAACCGAAACTTTTAAAAATTGAATCCTGAATGTCAAAACCTAAAGGCGAAACCTTTTTACTTAGCTGGTTACAAAAAATACAGGTAATAATGAAATGTGAAATATGCAATCAAAACTGAAAGAGATCGACTCCTGACCCTGACATAACATAAATATGTGACTGATAATCTTGAAACCCAATTAAACATAATTTTTATAAACAATACCTGCATTCAGTAATCCAATATGCTGCATGTGGCAACTATAGTTTCGGTTCACAGGGAACCATCTTCAGGCCGTACAAGGCGTCGTTATTCACTTCCATATATGAAGGTCGTCATTTAATAAATAAGTACATAGAACACGAACACACGAAAACGCACATTGACACGAACATTTAACATTAAAAAATACCGAGTACTCGGGAACACGAGACAGGTGACGCGACCGGGTGGAAGTTGTAGCTCGAACTCACCCGGTCGCGTCACCTGTCTCGTGTTCCCGAGTACTCGGTATTTTTAATGTTAAATGTTCGTGTCAATGTGCGTTTTCGTGTGTTCGTGTTCTATGTACTTATTTATTAAATGACGACCTTCATATATGGAAGTGAATAACGACGCCTTGTACGGCCTGAAGATGGTTCCCTGTGAACCGAAACTATAGTTGCCACAAGCAGCATATTGGATTACTGAATGCAGGTATTTAAACCATTATAAATATTCAAACGTAATCCGGAGGCTAACAACTCTTAAAAATGAAACCAATATTTCTACGAGTTTGTGAGGAAACAATGTTTCAAACACTAATAATGACACAAAAAGATGTCAGTAGTTTCAAAAATAACTGCAAAAACTTTAATTTCAAAACTCAGTGATCGAATCTCGAAACCGAAAATTTTCCAAAGTTTTGATGGTTTTGAGATTCGGTTATGACACATCACTACTATTCTGTACATAGATCACCTCACATATCAGAAGTTCTGGTGACAGAAAGTTGAGATTTTTGAACAACAAAAATGTAGGAAAATTGAATATTTCTTACAAAACAACAATTTTTCTTTTCTTACAATTTTGCTTGATATCCTCACTATAGTTCGGCCGCTTAGAAAACGACCTGCGCGCTAATACTATACCAATGCTGGTGGAGGTCGCTTTCTAAGCGGCCGAACTATAGTTGTATTCGCATAACTAAAAAATTTACCTTCAGGTGGGTGACTATTCTCAGTTTGAGATTTTCTTAATGAATTAAACAGCTTAATATGGTTATTTAAATATACATTGTTGGTCACTGTTCTTTAATGAAATAAAGTACACTGTAAAAGAATATACAACCAACAAAATGTGGAAATTAATTTAATTGGGAACTATACCTCCTTATAATTGTAATTTTTTTATAAATATCAAATATCCAATAATGTATGTTATACAATTAGAATTTTAAACTTGAATCGAGCAAAAAAACAAGACATTAGGCCTTCTTGATGAAATGTGTTATTAGTGCGTTCAGTTAAAGATTATAGACCCAAGTTCAACAGGAATTTTAGATTTCCAACATGGAATTTAAATACTTTAATAACCTAACCCAAAACTTCTGATGCCAGGAACTAAGAAATAATTGAAAAAGTATCTAAAATATTACGGAAACTAAGAATTAAAAAATCTGAAACATGAATCATTTGAAATTTACGAATGTCAATAAGTGTTGAAGCAGAGTGGAATATGAGATTTATGGAAGCGAGAATGGCATAATCACTCCAAGAGGAAGACACGATTGTGGCTGTATTGTGGGTTGATTGGCCGTCCTCAGTGTGCAAACGACTCAAGTGACTAGAAGTGACAAAAGGATCACTTGGTGGTTTTGCACCACAAACACAAATGCAACTTCTCAACATTCTGTTGTTTCTGTTCCTAGGTAAGTGATTATGTTGGATTTTTTTGGGAATTCTAACTCCGTTATTTTATTATGTTGAAAATATTAAAGGGAGATGTGGATTAATATAAAGATAATTTATTAAATTACATCATTCTTGTTCTATCACAAGCAAGCTGCTAAACACAAAGGATAACGATTAACAAACAACAATTTAGGCTAAACCGAAAATTTTTTTTAAATCAGTTGTTGAAATATTAAATGGTTGTATATAACTGTGTGTGTAATATTGTAAACTCATCAAAAAGCTATTGAACTTTGACCATAGATTTGTTTATTAAGTAGAATATTTGTCGGAACGTAAAATTGATCAGAACTAATTTATTGCTAATTGATATGAGATTTATCTTAATTGTTGACCTTAGTACTTAAGAATACTCTATTATCTATTGTGTAGCTAGTTTTAGAGGAGTTTTTTTTTTATTTTTATAATGATATTCCTCCTTTTTAACCTCTCCACCTACTCCATAGTATACGGAGAAAAAGATTTTCTAATTTAAAAAATATGGCAACAGTTAAATAAAACTAATTTAAATATAAAAAAATAAGGAAAATTATATCGTCTACAAGTTGGGTAGAGCAACTAGTAATAATTATTTATTGAGTTTATTGTAAAAGCCAGGCTTTCAGAGTACTTACTCAGAACTATTGTTTTCATCACTTCCTTAAGAAAGTAGCTTTTTTCAACGGCAGCTGATATCAAAGAAGATAATCGTGTCCCAAGCTCTGATTTATAAAAAGATTTGCTGATTTTTCAATCAGTTCTACATTGGCACACTATATGCATGTTATACTCCATTCACAAAATTTAGGCGGTTTGAGGGGAAGTGATTTCATCCCCACCACTTCACCCAAACCTACAAGATCGCGCCACTCATCCTACACTCATCCTTCACTCATATTTGGGTTAAAATACGCACATAGTGGCGTCCCCATCTTAAATAATTGATAATTGATATTGATATGACTGATCAGTTGATTAGACACCCACAAACCTATATCCGCTTCAACCCCTAAATTTAGTGAATGGACTATAGTGTTTTAGTGTTTAATTGTTTCTATAATTCAAATCACCGGTTTTTACAGTTCAACAATCTAAATTAAACAGAATTTTATAATATCGGTAAGTATTGACATAGACTAACCAACACAAGTAGACTTCTCATCCCATTGTAAATTTTGAAGCACTTTTTTCGTGTCTAGTTCATGTACGTGACACATGGGCGCTAGTGTCGACGAAACTTTGTTTCTATTATTTTAGGGTTAATTTCTTGATTTGTGCTTTACTGTTTGGTTATATAACTAGGGGACAAGTTATTGTTTATGATTAGATCGTATTATTTGGTTAAACGAGGTTTTAAATGGCTGCAATAACGGGAAACAAATTGTAAACAAAACACGACATCTGCAGAAAACCGTACAGAACAAACAATAACATTGGCTTCAGCTGTTCCATAAGGATGAGAAATCTACTAAGGGAGTATGTTTTATCTATGGTATTGACTATTGATGAAGACTTCCCATCTATGGACCACCAATGTGTGATTTTTTTTTAATTAAAAAAGAACATAGTTGTATGCCTAGTTATAGAATGTGCTAGTCTCTAAAATTTCATATTTTCTATTATTTTTTGTTGCTGACCAAGTTGATGGGGCATAACAGTTGCTATAGCTCTCAATAAGTCATTCCATTAGTATGACCATAGATAAATCATACTCCATTTGTCATCCTTATGGAACAGCTGAAGCCAATTTTATTGTTAGTTCTGTACGTCCAACTGTAGAGGTTATGTTTTGTTTACAATTTGTTTCTTGTTATTTCAGTCATTTAAACCCTCATTTAACCAAATAAAACGATATAATCATAAACAATAACTGGTCTCCTAGTTATATAACCAAACAGTAAAGCACAAATCATGAAAATAACCCTAAAATAATAGAAACAAAATGTTGTCTACCCCAGCGATCAGTGTGGACGTACATGAACTAGACACGAAAAACATGCTGCAAAATTTACAATGGGATGAGGAGTCTATGGTATGACTTGGTAAACAAGTTTGTGTCTTCCACAGAAATTAGTAATTTAGATCCTGTCTGTGGCTCACATCAACTATGACGATCTTGAATTTTTTAAATGGCAAAAACTTTAACATGGGAATGGAATATCTAGTTGTATAGTCTAAGGTACGGCTAAATATCATCTTCGTTAACAATGATCCTGGGAGTAAGAGTTAACATGAAATATTGGAACATTTGGAATATTACTCTGAACCAAAACACCCCTTACAAATCCCCTGGATAGTTGTCAATTACATTTTAATGGGTTATTTCAACAAAACTTGGAATACAAATTCAGTTGACCCTCTAGGTTTGGTCTACATCAATGGAGAACAAGCAGCCTTATCACAGACGGATACTTGCGATGAAACACCCAAAACTAACACAGGTAAGCTATGGTTATACTACCTCATGATGTGTTTCTTACAGGCCTATAAGAGCACTACTGACTTTGTATAAGTACTTTGAGTAGGCTTCTCATCATTGTATGAATTCTTAAGCTGTTTTGATGGGTTTCATGTCCATTTAGAGCCAGTTTCCGAACTCAGGATTTAGCTAAGTTCTAGAATTTAACCGTCTTTATATTCTGGAGTCAACAAAATGTCTTTCCGAGTCAGGGCGTTAGCAAAGTCCAAAACAGTACGATTTTAGATCCTCGCCGAGGGCAGGATTAAGGTGTGCTGAGTGTTTTTTTATTCCTCCCTCTTCACATAATAATGCAGAAGTTATTGTTTTTGTCACAATTCTCAAGTTTGAGTTTTTGTAAAATGTCTCCAGCTGATCTTAATGATTACGATGATCAGTTTTGATCAGTTTGAAAAGTGTTGAGTTTGATTATGATGAGTTTTGAAGGAGCCTTATGTGTTCCAACTGGCAAAAAACTCATCTGTAGAGTATTTTGCCTTGTCACATGGACATTGATAAAACTGATTTACACCAATAACAAGTGCCTAATTTGGTTGATTTGGCTAAATAAATGACTTATGATAAATCTTCAAGGGAGAGTGTATAAAGTCCTAAATAACAGTGAAATCCTGGCAATTATGTGCACTCCTTTTGATTTTGTATACTCCTGGTAGACTGGTAACGTACTATGTCACTTCATCCCGATGTGCAAACAACATTAACATTATGTAAACTTAGGCGCTTGTTATTGGTGTAAATTAGTTTTATCAATGTCCATGTGACAAGGTAAAATACTCTACAGATGCGTTTTTTTACCAGTTGTAACACATAAGGCTCCTCCAAACTCTATGGTTATTGTGTCACTTAATTATTTCCACAACCCTCTTAAGCCAAGGAAAAGTAAACAAACAAACTAAAACAAAAACAAATCCAACAGCTGATATATCTTCAATATTTTAAATGTGATAACATACATCCCTTTAGTGGTTCCTGTCCTTATGAGAAGGTTTTCCGAAAAAAATTATTTTTCAGGGAGGTTTCACATCAAGACCTTTCATTCAAGTATGCGTTTGATAGGTTTATGGCTTACAGTTTTCTCAAAAGTTCAAATCCATCCTAGCTTTATATGCACAACCACAATTAAAAAATTATCAATACATCCTTAGTGTGTTGCAAGCATAGAGGTTTACTTCCAGGAATTTCATGCAAGATGAAAAACAATCTAGGCCTACTGGATAGATTATTCAACAGTTTAATGAAACGTATATTTAATTTCAGGGAGGCTGAAGAAGAAGATATTCTGTGGTTATGACCCTACTGTAAGACCAGTCGCTCATCATTCCAACCAGACTTCCGTCAAAATGGCCGCCTTTCCCATCAACATCGGATGGATGGTCTCTATGTTAACTGATAAGATATAAACTATTATTCACTTTTAGGTACTGATATGAGCGTTCGTCCATTTACATGGACCCGCTTTAGCCAATGTTTTATTTATATAGAACATGGTTAAAAAAGCCACTAATTAAGTAGGATACTGTCAACATTTGATTTTTTCTTAGTTATTTTATGCTATGACAGTTTATATTATATAAAAAATACAATGGTTTATGATACTGTAGTCGTCCTTTCGGTTTGATTTAAATAAATTTGTTTCCCCTCAAACCCTATCTTTTAACAATACAATAAACTAAAACTATAGCTGGAAGAATAATAAAAGAAAATAATATATAATTGTATGTATGGCTTTTAGTTTATAGAGTTCTACAACATAGAAAAGTGTTCCTCCCATAAGACACCTATCCCTTTATGTTTTCTTCATAGTAGGAACTACAATTTTAAATATTGAGCTCTTAAAAAACTTAGCTACTTAGCTAAAAGTAACTGTGGTAATTGATGGGAAGATTTGAACCCAGAACTCAAGGATAGAGGTCTCGCACTGTAACCACTAAACCCCCCAGTTCCAACAGCAAATTCAAAAGAAAATTAGGTTTCTAAAAAAAACATATTCTGTACAACAATTTAAATTGGAAATAGTTTGTCTTTATCAAGGTACTAAAATATCTACCTTAGATTACAAAAAATCGAACTCCAAACCTTCGCGCCCCTTAGTAAAATATAGATGTGAGCCAATAAATTTACTCAGTTTTGTGGTTTTATTATTTTCCGTAAGCTCTTCCGTAAAAGGCGGCCCTACATAAAGGCAGACAAGGCGGTGCCTGAGGCCTCGCGCTTTTCAGGGGTCCCACACAGCCTTATTTCAGGTATTAAGCCGTAAGTTCAGGCCCGATGTTGAACTTTGTGTTGGGCTCCCGCAATCTCTAGGGCTGCCACTGTCTATCGTTTAGAATCTACATTTTTTAGTTTTACGCTGGACTTGTGTTGCTAAAAGTTGATAGTGAATTTAATTTTTATTTCAATTTTATACTTTCCAGCATGAAGAAAGGAACTCAATATGGATGTCATTTTGGCTAATCATGGTGAGTTAGAATAAAAGTAACTATTGGTCGGCCGGTTAGAAAACGACCTCCTCGTAGCATTGGTGCAAGAGAGAGATACCGTGCTGTGGGAGTGAGACAGACTATGGCTCTTGCCCCACTCCGCTGCCGCCCAACCCTTCCCAAACACAAGCCCCATAATAATATTTAATATTTTAGTTAAATTGCAACTAAAATATTAATAGCAATTAAATTATACAGCTGATCAAAATGTAAGCAAATACGCGGAGAGGGGGAACATACCCTCCCCTACATGCGCTAAAAATTTCGCGCAGGTCGCTTTCTAACCGGCCGACCTATAGAGTGATGCTCGTATTTACAAACATTGTAGCTCATCAAAAAAATCTTAAGAGTCAATTTCAATCATGCATTTCCTGTGTAAAACCAAATTGGTTATTTTTAAAATTATCATGTTGTATTGTAATGTTATACTATTGACTATACAAAGAATTATGTGTATAGTCCATACTTATACACATCAAATTTGTACGGACAATTATGACAAAAATATATATTTCAGCATTGGAACGATGATCTATTGTCATGGAACAGCTCACATTACGATGGTTTAGAAGAATTTCCCACCGATGGAAACATGGTTTGGGTTCCAGAAATCTTCGTAAGTGACCCGTAAGTTTTACATTTTTTCCGTTACATAAAATAACTTTAAGGAGCCGTCCATATAACTTAATATTAAATAATGCTCAAATGGGGGGAGGGGGGTTTCAAGTTTGTTACGATAACACACTAAAAGATCTATTTTTCCTAAAGTACCAAAATGATCAAATTACTTAAGAAACAGTCAGGTTTAAGATGCTTAAACACATGAGAAGTGTTAAGTATACAAGTCCTAATTTTAAAATTGTTAATTGGCCTATTAGTAATTGTTAACATTAAAATGTTCAGATATGGTGTTAATAGACTGTAAAGTTTGTTCTTAAAATGTTTGTTTGTATTGATAACATTATTTCAAAACCAATTACAAACAATTTCTTTACTTCAGGAGACATTTTCAACTGAATTTCATACCCCACAATCCTGTTTATGATAATATCAGACTGCTTAACGACAATACAAAAGGGAATACAAAAAGGAGGGGAGGTTTAGCCTTGTGTTATGCAGCGTCACAGGGGGGGGGGGGGGAAAGGGTCTTAAAAATAACAAAAAACGTGTTATGTAATATATGGACGGCCCCATTTAATTTGTTCGAAAAATGTTTGCAAATGCTGGCAACCTTTGATGCAAGGTGGAATCACAATCCCTGAAGCTCAAATGGTTGATAGAAAATATAGGTACTCTCTGAAAAAATATACAAGAGAAATAACTGATTGATGAAGGAGAAAATGCAACATACTTGTTGACCCTCAGACTACCAATTGCAGAACTGATCAATGAGATGAAGTCTAAACTGATAAAGTGAATAAGAACGTTTTATGGGGGGAGGAAACTTTTTACACACTTAATGAATTCAAATGATTAATTCTCAACTAAACAATTAGTTTTCTGGGTAGCATGATAGTGCTCGCCTTCAAATCTGAAGTTCGCTGGCTCCTTGTGATTGTTTCCACACCCTGTCTTTGGGATTTCAAATAATGGTACTACCTAACAAAATGTTGGATTTTGGTATGTAAGACCATTGATTGAATCGCTCCCTAACAAAAAACTTAAATATTCATATTCCACAAGGCATAAATATATATACAACTAAACACTATTTAAATATCTGATTCCAGCCCTCAGTCCCAGATATCTCGCCAGATGAGTTGTGTCGTTCGCTCTACTGGTTACGTTGATTGCTCCAAGAACATGGGTGTCACTGCACGCTGTACCATAGACCTCACTTACTTCCCCAACGACCGCCATCATTGCAAAGTAGTATTCCGTCCTCGAACCTACAAGAACAACGTCCTCGACCTCACTTTTATGGACTTTGAGGTGACTTATTTATTTCTTCTTCATATAAAAAAATCCATGGTATTTTAATTTTTGTATTGATATATTTTTTATATTTGTGGATGGTTAAGCACTTTACGTTGTGATTACCCCTACACTTAGCATTGGATAAAGTCTCTTTAGTCTGAGCTTAAACAACCTTTTTCACAATTTGTTACGTTTTCAAGTTTTATTTTTTCCATTTCAACAAGGTATGAAATTATGTTCATGTCTATGTTTACTTTCTTATTATATCCCTAGGGTCTACTATTCATTTAGACATACACGGTGGTATTTAGGTCCAACTTGAAACCAACATTATTGATCTGTTAGTTGAAAACTCTAAGACATACCAAGAAATAAATTTTATTCTCATACTCCAATGGATAGTGACAAACAGATTGATGTCAAACCGTAAACAATTTTAAAATACCATAATTAATCACGGTCTTGATAAGCGTATAACAAACATTTAAGAATCGTCCAAACAAAAGACTTCCTGGAATTTTATGTGGTTCCATTAATTATTCCAATGACAATTCAGTTATTTGAGCAGAAATACTAAAATTTTGTTTCTGCTAATAAAGCTGTTGTTGCATGCAATATACAAATTCCCAAAAAATTAAATATGTTTTCCAGGGGACGAATCTATTCACGTTTTACCGATCGCATGGAATTTGGAACTTGGTGTCCCTCAAAGCCAATCGCAATGTAACGAAGCTGTTTGACGACTTCTACACTATAGACATGGAGTATACTTTTGTGATTGAGAGAAGAAGTTCAGCTTATAGTGCAACACCATTGGCAGGCAAGTGACTTGTTTAGTTTTACATTTAATATCTAAGCTAGTGAACTTCGTATAAAATAATCACAAACACTTCTAAAGAGAAAGTGGACTAAATCCCTTAAATTTTTTGCGAATTTCCCATATAATAAGCTATTACTCATGGTAAGACCTGGACCAGGGACCGATTTACTTCTTCGTTTTGAGGTCCCCAGAGGCGAAAAACACCATCCGTTCCAATTCATACATGTGTGTGTGTGTGTGTTTGTGTCCGATTATGGGATGATAACTTGAGCAAAAATGATCCGATTTGATTAATTTGGTAGAAACAAGTAAACCTAGGTTTATTCTAATGTGTTCGCCAACCAGCATGATTGGGCTATGGGAACGGCGGTTTATGGGGTAAAAATTGGGTTTTCCCATTTTTTACCCTGAAAACATAAAATTTCGCAATTTATTTCTGAACTGTTTTCTAGAGCTTAAATAAGAAATAATTTAGAATATTGAAGTGTTGTGTCACACTAAGCAATAAAATTTTCCATAAAAAACACACCTCATTACCTTCCTGTAGCAGCAAACCTAAGTACTCATTAAAATTAATGTTATTTGAATAGGAAATAAATCGACAATTTTAAGGGAATATTTTAGGGAAATCTAGCCAGTTAAATAGAAACTCACTTAGTCTGCAGGTTTGCTGCAGATGGGGTACTATTTCTAATCCTAATAAATGGGATATATAATAATAGAACCCTTTTGCAAACAGAATACAGACGTGTGTTCAGTCAAAATGCATGTGATTTTCTGACGACCATGTTCTCTAGTGATGATGATGATGGTGCTGAGCGTGTTCTGGCTAGAGCCGCAATGTTCCGCCCGTATCGTACTGCCCGGGTTGACAATCCTATGTCACATGATCATCCTCCGATGGCTCATGGAAGTAGTCAGTTCCAACTTTGAAAGTCTTCCAGTCATCAGTAAGTATTGATTTGTATCACCTTTATAGAATATCGTACTACTAGACATTCCATGTTGGGGGGAGTGAGCTGGCCTAGTGGTTAGAGCGCGGGACATTGGTCCAAGAGGTCCCGCCAAATCACCAATGGATTTCATCCAAGTGATAATGCCGCAACCCCTAGGTCTAGCCTGAAGTAATGTGAAAAACAATCCCAGGCTCGTGCCTAGCGTCCTAGGACAAAAAAAAACTAGACATTCCATGTTAAAGTTTTGACAGTTTTGGAATGAAAATGAATATATGTAGTAGAATTAAGCCACCATCAGAATGCTGATTATAAAAGTTGTAATTTGTAAAAGGGTGTGTTTACTTACACCCTTTTACAGATTCGATTTTTTTAATTTCCATTTTTTGGCGCATTTAGTACGGTGTAGGAATGTTTTGAGACGGAAATGTAGCAATATTATTATGACTACCAAGAATAATGACAATGATGCACAGATGGTCCACGTTGCTGTGAGTCCGCATAAACAGTTTTAACCTTGTGTTTATTTATATATGTGTGTGTAAACATGTTTTGTACCTAGTTGTAAATAAACTAGTGATATGTGGCAACACTGCATAGTTGGCAACATCCAAGACAGCAGCCATTTTGTAAACTCTACAACCTTCTCTACACTCGACAAAGCCCCTGGGGGGACAAAATATCAAGTGTACAATGTCTCTTCTGTATGTTCTATAGCCTTCCTACACTTCTTCAAGGTAATCTAGCTGCTATCCTCTTTATTACACAATTCAAAATCCTGGCCTAGATCCTTTCCTTGAACAAAATTAACCTTGGTATGTTACAGTTGTGGTTGTACGCAACTCTATGCTACTGGCTGGTGTAGGATTGGGGTGGAGTGTTGTGTGTAGAGCTCTATGTAGTTGCTCTTTTTCACCATATTGGTTGTACAAGGCTACTACCAACATAAACAATAACCAGACCATCAAACTCTTCCTTCCTCACGACATTTTCATCAAGGTCAGTCAAATTTTATTTTGATTTTATTTGATTTGAATGGACAGTTCAGCTCGGAATTGATGGGGGTATATTTTTGTGAGTTGCGCCTCAAAAAGCCATTTTGATTGTTTTTACCCTTTTTTGTATTTATAAGATGAAATAAATGTAAAAAATAGTCAGCAGAGGAATGAATAATCCCTGGAGCTTAAAAGGTAAAATTACGTTAAAACCTAGTCCTAGTACCATTTCCGAACACAGAAACATTCTGTGACCACATTTTATGGTCAAACTACCATTCTCGATTGTTTACTTTCTGATTAATTTTGTACTAATGCTGCACTGTCCTACAGTCAGGCACATCGGGGGATGAAGACGAGTCTTCTCTAGTAGTACATCGGGACTGTACAGAACAGCAATGGCGCATCCTGATCATCTTGAGCGACCGGATATTCTTCAGCCTCTACCTCCTACTCTACATGTACTTTTTTATGTCTCTGACCCCATAAAATGTGTATTACGCTACAATGGCGGGAAGTGGATGATTACGGTACGAGCATTATAGTTGCGAGTAGATGATGGGAGTGCTGTAAACACATTACCGAGTGAGTTTCGTACGATACTTTTTGCATTACAAGCAGCAACAAGTTTTTTTTACTAATTTAGACCTATAGACTAACAAAACTCTACTGATCCTTTGTAAACTATTTTGGAAATAAGGAAAACTCATACCTGTTTTTGGATTTAACAAGCAAATATGAGCTAATTCTTGTAGGCTTAATCGTTATTTTGTGTGGAATTTCACAATATTCTCTATCGTGATCCATCTCCTGTGATAAGTTATTTGAAAATCGATTACAATACTCTACGCAATGGCAGTCGTTCTGCTAACTGCGTAGTGTGGTGAAAACCCTATTGCAAGCTAAAACCTTTTGACTATTGATGGAAGTGGACATGCCATTCCCTGCTGAAACCAGTTTAAGAGAAACTATTAAGCCATCAACAGATAGCACAGATGTAATTTACTGATTTATTTCAAATACTCTAGCTTTTAAAATGAGCCAAGAAGGGACTACTTATTGTCAGCTATCATAGTAACAAAAACTAAGGGATCAGTAGCACACTCTCCAAGTGCATTCCAAGTTCTTTTTGGTAGTAATGTGTAGTATATTGTTAAATATGTCAATGTAATTATTTAAAATTTTCTATTTTAGAAATAAATCATACAAATTATATGCCTTTATACATTTCCTGGATTGTTTTGAAAATGAAAGATTATTGTTGCCTCTTTTAGTAGGCTATTTATTGACCGGCATGATATGATCAACCACTTTAGACAGTGATTTGTAAATTGACTGTTATAACTTATTTTAAAAGCAATAAACGAAATGTGTATAATTATGTAAAGATAATTATGTAAAGAATGATATAGCTAATTCTACACAAAAAGGCTATTTGTCCTGTTAACAGATTCCTCTTAAAATTTGTCTTATCATTTTTATTTTAGTTTTAAAAAATACTAATCAGTGCCTAAAGCATTTATAAAATTTGTTAATATCAATTTAAAACTACTGTTCAATAAACAAAATTTTTATTTAAATTGTCGGGAAATTAAAATAAATATTCAATTACAAGAGAATTATAAATTATATTTCTTAAGATTAACAAAAAGAGTCACATAAGCAGCACACCAACCACTCCTGAAAATTAAAGAACATTTTAGAAAATAGTTTAAGATGAAACAAGAAGCTACTACATCTAGATTATGGATCAGCTGAACACAATTTTAGGCAGCGTTTCTGTCCAAATGTAATTATATGTTTCCCGTTTTGTTTTGAACTCTTGCTATGATAACTCTGGCATTATCTACATTTATTTCAGTCATAATTTCACTGGATCATGTTTTCAACTCAAGGTATCTCTAGACATTTTTTAACTTTGTTGAAACAGTTAAGTGTAACAACAAGTATTGTATGCTTTGAATTCAACTCACCACATTAGGCATAGTAGTTCAAGTTGGCCTTCTTCTTGGCTTGAACCTCGAGGATAGCGTCCATGAAGTCCTCGTGAGTCACGGCCGCAGCGCCTCGCCTCAGGGCGATCATACCCTGTGAGAGAAAACAAGACTTACTGCAGGTATTTGGGCACAAGAAAATCACATGTTATATTTTAAAGTTTGATTTTGGTAATATAAAAAATTAGTAGGGTTGGTTATTAATTTGTACTCTTTAGGTTATAATGCTGTGCAACCACTAATTCAACCTTCCTTGTTTAAAAAACTATAGTATCACGATTTGGATAGTTGGGAGTTCGGATAATTTGAGTACCTATTGTACTATCATAACTTACCGCTTCAACACAAACAGCCTTGCACTGAGCCCCGTTGAAATCGTCAGTTGACCGAGAGAGCTCCTCAAAGTTGACGTCTGGGCTGACGTTCATCTTACGAGAGTGAATCTGCATGATGCGAGCCCTAGCCTCCTCGTTGGGGTGGGGGAACTCAATCTTACGATCCAGACGTCCAGACCTGAGCAACGCTGGGTCTAGGATATCCACACGGTTTGTGGCCGCAATAACCTGTCGACCAAAAAAAAAGCTTGTCAACAAAATCAACCAATCAACAAGTCATTGATTAGGCCTAACCTTGGAACATCCAAACTTAGAAACTTTTATTGTCTGGGTACAGTACAGTAATATAGTTAGTTAGCCAAATTACTTTTTTGGGACGTCAGTTACACATTTGTTTTCAAACCAATATCTGACAACTTGTTGTTAGGTACATTTGAAATCTTTCCATTGGAAAAATACATAAATATTTTCACACTTTTTTGCTTCATGGTGCTACCAGTTGAGCATTGAAGGCCAAATCTGTAATTTTGTAAATGGTTGCAACAAATAAAATATTTACCCAGTTACTTTTGTATTATATGTGCAAAGTTTGTGGAGCTGGGTAGGGTATAGATAGACCTACTCAGTAGTAGGCCTATGATGTTATGACAGTGAAAATGGTGTGATAGCTTTTAGAAGACTTTTTATTCTCTAATTCAGGGTATTCCCACTTTCCTGCCAATAATATAAAGTTTATAGATGCCACTTTGTAATCTGTTACTCCTGAATGCTGGTTTAGCAAGAGTCTACCTTGATATCAGCCGTCGAGCTGAATCCGTCCAGCTGATTCAACAGTTCCAACATCGTTCTCTGGACCTCTCGATCGCCAGCCTTCTCCGAGTCGAATCTCTTGGTTCCGATGGCGTCCAACTCGTCAATGAAGATGATTGCTGGTGCTTTCTCCTTGGCCAGGGCGAACGCATCCCTCACAAGTTTGGCTCCGTCTCCGATAAACATCTGGACCAACTGAGGACCAGCCAGCTTGAGGAAGGTTGACTTGGTCTGAGCAGCGCACGCTCGAGCCAGTAACGTCTTTCCTGTAAAACAACGCAATTGTTACAAGTTCTGGAAACCAGATTGCCATTGAGCAGTTGATTAATGATGCTTTCCAAAAACAAGTACTCGTTAACAAAACCATGGTTTGGACACCTTCCTTGAAAAACATTAAATAGTCTACTGGCAGCTTTATACACGAAATACCTAAATCCCATACCATGATCACTGATCAGTTATGATACTATACATTTTTTTCTAAGGTAGCTCCTAAGGACCAAATTTTTCTATGCTAGAGGGATGTGTAGTTTACAACTGAATCTGATGATCTGAGAAGGGAAATAAAGCTAGAAGGTTGGCTACCCTGCTATATGGTCACTCACCTGTTCCTGGAGGTCCATAGAGCAAAACACCCTTGGGAGGTTGTATACCCAGGTTCTCAAACTTCTCTTTGTGGGTCATGGGCAGAACAACGGCTTCAATAAGCTGTAACATTCAAATATGTTTGGTGTTAATGCAAAACAGAAGGGCGATTCACCGCGGACAGAACGGAAATAAACAAAAATTTGACTTCTTAAAGGAGAGTAATTATATGAGCATTACCTAAACAATGCTCAGTTGAAATTATTGTCGTTTATTTTGTTGAGACATCGACATCAAGTGTGCCAACCTTGGTAAAGTTATATGGCCAGCCAAAACAATTAACTCTAGAATGAACATAGTGCACCAACGCAGCCCCATCAAGCAGCCAAAGGATAGTTTGCTCAAAACTTTCCTTGCACTTGGTTTGGTATCTGGACGTTTTTGGCCTACTACGCCAAAATCTACAGACAATGTTACCGATTTTAAGTGTTTAATAAATGTGTTGTCTAATATTTTCTCGGGATGGTGATCTTCTGAGTTTGGCAAACGGAACTATAATGTTTTGAGATTTCCCATCTTACAACAGATAGTGGATTGACAACAACAAAAAGATATCCAAGCTAAATATTATGGCAATTAAGTAAAGTCACAATCTGGCAGAAAAGGACTTAAATAGCCATTAAACTGATAATCATTCATTTATTCTGTTTTTTTATTGCTCAATCACAAAAACACAATGCAGAACAATCTAGGCCTACTTCAACATCGCTACTTGAAAGAAAGGAATTTGTAATACCTAATACCTAACTACAGTACCTAACTAGGTACCTAACTCAGTAACTCACAATTACAATCTTGAAAATACCCGATATCATCATGACTTATCACAGGTCTGAGTTCTTAAAAAATAATTTATGCATAGGGATAAACTTTTAAAACATTGCATACACAACAAATAAAACATTTGGAAAATGTTTGCATCAAATGTTAGGTTCACCTCTTGTATCTGCTTGTCCAGTCCTCCGATGTCCGAGTACTGCTCGGTGGGCCGCTCGTCCACCTCCATCGCCTTCACTCGCGCGTCGTACTCAGCTGGCAGAGTCTCCAGAATTAAGTAAGAGTCCTTGTTTACTCCCACCAAGTCACCAGGCTTCAGCTTCTCAACGTCCACCAGTCCGATCACTGGCAGGAAATATGTCTGTGAAACACCATGCCATTTAAGTATAAGGTTAAAACACTGTATTTTTTTAGGTTATCTATTTCAACAAGACTAACATAGATCTAAGTTTTAGAACAGTGTAAATGAACCAAATAGACTTCTAATAGAGTTGAATGGTATTTTGCTTCAGAGATAATTGCTTCGACCCATCCAAAACATCAGTACCCTATTTATGCCAGTTCTACCTGAGGACTATGATTTAACAGAATAGGCATACCATGGAAACCTATTCGTACCTATAGGGCCTAAGTAAAAAAAAACCAATCCTTTTAGAAAGCTATGTTAGACTCTATAAAACGTGATCATTCAATTATTCGATTTACATAGCCCTGCACTTTTAGAGTTTGCATTTTGAGTAAAAAACGTAACACTCTTTACACAAATACCCAAAAGATTGTAATTTTAATAATAAAAATAGAAAACTTTAAGGTAAAGTGTAGACCTTCAAAAATAGCCTATCTTCTAAGGCTATGTTGACAGAAATTAGGTGTTGCTCAAAACTTAACCTGATATAGAGCTAGAACACATTTTATGGGTTTAAGTTACCTTTGTACAAAAAACCAATTACAAACCTGGCGAGTGGATGTTTTGATGACGGCACATTTTCCTTTCCGTTGTGCATCTAAGTCTACTACTGCACCATCTTCTTCTGTGTCTTGTGGGTCAACATCCAAGAGCTATATAATCAATTTTGTGAATTAGGAAAGCATTGGGAGTTGGGGTAAATTAATGATAGGCAAAATTGTTCCATAACCATAATTAAGTTTGGATAGCTACATTACAGTATGGCATGTTCAAATAAATATACTCTTAAAATTAAAGTTGGTCGATCCTGGTTTTAAGTGTGCGTAGAAGCAGACAACTATGAAGTAGTTGCCACTATTTTTAGGATCCACTATTTTTTAGAATCGACCAAGTAAACCTAAAGTATGTTCCTCCCAAAACTGCTGGTTCGAGACCCAACCATCTGCTAAATTAATTACAGCAGTCTTCACTACCAACACAACAACAACAACAGGGTGGCACAACAAATATGGTCGGTTTTGAAATTAATATAGGCCATCCTAACGCAAATGATTTTACACATAAATTTTACTGACTTAAACATTTCTGGACACTTTCAAATACCCCATTACAAAAATACCCCCGCCGCAGCAAACCTGCAGACTAAGCGAATTTCCATTTGACTGATTGGATTTACACTGAAATGTCTACTTAAAAATATAACATTTATTCTCTATTTAAATAGAATTAGTTTAACTAGTACTTAGGTTTGCTGCATCAGGGAGGGTAAAACTGTTTTTTTTTTTTTTTGTAAAACGTTAATAGTTAGTAAGAAATAAAAACATTTTCCAAATTTGATCAAAATATGTTCATAAACAAGCAAACTACAACAATTTACTTATTCTCCATAAGAATAACATGGGAATTTTAAATTTACAATTTTTTTTGAATTTTCTCCGTAACCATTAGGCGCATAATAACGCTTCAATATACTAAATTATTTGTTTTTTTAAGCTCTACAAAATGGTTTAGAAAGAAATTGCTAAATTTTATGTTTTTTGGGTCAAAAATGGGAAAACCTATTTTTACCCCATAAAACCCCCCGTAAACCCCCGTTCCCATGGTCCGATCATGCTGGATCGCGAACTCGTTCCAATAAACGTAGGTTTACACGTTTGTACCAAATTTCATCAAAATCGGATCATTTTTGCTCGAGTTATCGTGCTAACGGACACATATATATATATATATATAAATATATATATATATGAATTTGAACGGATGGTGTTTTTGGCCTCTAGGGACCTCAAAATGAAAAAAAAAAATCGGTCCCGCGTCCAGGTCTTACCATGAGTACTACGGTAATAGCTTATTCCCTATATGGGAAATTCGCTAAAAACCTTGAAAGTTACAAAGTTGCCAGTAAGCTATTATATAAATGTCAATCAAACCATAAAATTCATGTACGGAAAATAACTTGGGGGAAATAATGGTGCCCTTCCTGAAGGATACACTCGTAAAGTCTTTCCTCAAAATTCTCCAACTCTTTTGCTACCTACTGTTTCTTCACCAATGGCCTTTATTTCCACACGGATTGCCTGTTTTAGATCGTGTAAGTCTCGGGACTTGTGAACATAGACTTTAGATTTTAAATATCCCTAAAGAAAAAAATCACAAGCTGAGAAATCTAATTAGGTGATCTAGCGAGCCAGTGGATAACACCAAAACCCAAGATGACGTGGTGGGGGAACATCTGTTTCAAAGCCCTCAATGAGTCATTGGCCGTTTGGGCTGAAGCGCCATCTTGTTGGAACCAAATACCTTTAATGTTCACTCGTAACTGCCACAGTTTCTTTATCAAATAGTTACAGAGCATGTTATCATAACGTTATGAGTTGAGCAGGACTGTAGCGCTAACTTAATCTCTTCAAAAAATTAAGGCCCAACAATCACTATTTTGGAAATCCCTCACCAAACTCTCACTTTAGCACAGAACAGAGGCTTCTGGTGTAGTCGTGTTTAGTTTATTCATATATCTGTTAGAATATGTGAGCCCCATTAGACATCATGAGCACATCATCTTTGAACACACAAAATGTGTAGAATTTTTTCACAAAAGCGGCTGCGGTGCTCAAAATCATAGAGCCATTGCGTGATCATTATTTTGTATGGGTGAAACTTCTTGCGGCGTAAAATACGCTGTAAAGAGCAATGGCTGAGGTGCAAAGTCTGAGCACATCGCCTAGTAGAATGTAGCGGACTTTGAAGCACTGATGCTATTACCGTCATAATGTTTTGTGGAGTAATTGCCGTTCGTGAACGTCCATCAGATTTACCTCTCATAACGGAACCTGTTGTCTGAAATGCAGTCACCATATGTATTAATGATCAAAACAGCCCATTGCACAGGTAATTAAAGATTCACTGTTCCTGAAAACTTATCAACAGCAAAAACACGGAGATCCACTGTCCACTGCGCCATCTAGCAGCAAACTGGATCGGTACTATGGTCGACTTGCAGACGGCCGGCAGTGCACCCGCCCCTCTCCCCACTGCTAGTAGCCTACTATGCAGTTTCATATCCGACCATCCTTTTTGCACCACCTGTAGCCTACCTTGTATATGTCACTTACAGGCCTTTAAAAGCTATACTTTTGTTATTCACAGATTTAGAACACCACTGAGAAAACATTCAAATGTAAAAAAAAAGTTAAGCTACACAATTTAGACTACGGTACCTTACCTAGAGCTACTATGCTTACAGTTAATATATGAGATCTTAACTCACCTCAATGACATTGGAAACCAAGTAAGGAAGTGTTTTATTAACTTTAATTTTTTCAGTGTTCTCTTTAATTTTCTCGTTTTGCGCCTGAAGTTCATGAGAAATTCGCATGACATCGCTCTTCATAATTTTAATTTCATTGTCCAAGAGACGGGTTCTGCCTACAATATCATCTGTTGACATACGCAACACTTCTTCTCCAAGTGATTCCTGAAAAACAACATTTTATATGTATATGTAATAGCTTAATGCACAGAGCCTAATTAGTATAGGCCTATATCAATGTCAGTGTATATTTCTTCAAATAGGCTACTTAGGCTTAAGAGTTAGCCAATTTCTATTTCACACAACTTACTATCGATAGGGGTACAGTTTCTTAACTGGGCTACGCTAATATTGATTGAAACTATCGATTCAATTAGTAAGCCTTCGTGCGATTTTTTCACCATCAGCAAGTTTGGTTGGTTAGGTTAGGTTATGACAGTTTAATTTTATAATAGATATATTTTAAAATATTTATTATTAATCAATATTTTCAATTCGATAGTTTCAATCAATATTAGAGTAGCTCAGTTAAGAAACTGTACCCATTGATAGGCCTAAGGCCTAGTTACAAATAATTACCTCTCCATCCTCCCACATAAATTTATCTTCCAAAGTTTTACTAGAACTCGCCATAATTTTAGACTCCAGTAAAAAATGTTTAACACAAACACAAACTAATCACGAGTCAATAGATTGAGAAAACTTAGAATTAATTATTATAGAACAATAAACATAACCTCAGCATGCCTGACTCAGTAAAATTTGAGATTCATCGGACCAGAGAGTAAAAGGAATAAATAATGCTTTCTTCTTGTCTTCTTGATCTCAGCACTAGCCCACTCGGTAGGGGTCGAGTTCCCACAAGGCTCACGGGACGCTCCGTGACGTAGGCTCGACATCATGATTTCATGACGTTCACGCTTCCCCTTCCCAGTTCCATTCCATGTCCATCCATAGTCCATGTCATGTCCATGGTCGTCTGTTCGTGTTAGTTGTGGTGGGGCGGGGAAATAATATTTTCATAGTGTAGTTATTGAGGTTAAAATTAGAGTTTTTTTCATAGAATAAATTAAGTTTAATTTAAAATAAATAATGAAAGAGTCTAATAGGAAGAGACAATAGACCGCTCTAAATTGTCATATTTTGAAAAAAACCCTTCTTTCTGAACGTTTGTAGGCTAGCCTCTACTCTATTTGATATTGAAAGTAACTAACTGAGCTACAATGATTCCTAGTATTTTAGGAAACAGCATTAGATATGGTAAGAATAACTACATTCAGAAATAAATTAATAGAATTAGGCTAAGCCCATACACCAATAGACTTGAACATAAGGCTATTTTGTGGTCGTTTTCAAACCACCTAGGATGTCTAAACAAAAATTATGTTTAGAGCCTAGGTCTACACATAATTTTTAAAATTATAATTAGGCCTAGCTTATAGTACCTTGAATGATCCCTTACGGATTCTTCGCTTTAAGACTGCTCTAAAAAAAATTGCCTGGGATGACATAATTGCTAGTAGACCACAGGGTGAGAGTTTTTTCGATTATTTTTTTAGCCACCTTCAGGAAACCCTGGATACTGTGTTCTCAGTAAAGGAGAAGCGGGCAGCAACCTTGAGTAAGGCGGGTAGGCCTAAACCAAAGAAAACCTCGCATATCAGATTGGTACACTCCAACTCTTCATTCAGATTGGTAGACTCAAGGAGTTCATGCTGATGTTGTGTGCCAGGGGAGACAAGGCTAGGTATCTGATAGCTAAGAAGCTGCATAACAAAAGTTGAGGAGGCGAAAAGAGCAGGTGCTGTAATGTCAAATTCATTGAAAATTCAAAAATCAATGTAAAGCTGCTGGGACGTCATAAGGTCAGTCAGGCCACCCACACCAGGAATGCGCTGCGCTGCAAGTCCCGATGAATTTAACAACTTCTTTATTCATCAGTCTCAGACATAGTTAGGCTACCAGTATCCCTGATGCTCTCTCGGACCCTTTGGACATTTTGAAAGATCGGATGCCAGAGTTCCGGCCCGACCTTAGTAAGACTGCATGGAGTAAAGTAAATGAAGAAAAGGTCCAGAAAATTATAAGTGGGCTTAAGAGAAAAGTGAGCCGTGAAAGACTACTATGGATGGTCTACCAAGCTCCTTAAGGAAGTAGCGAATGTCATCATTGCACCCCTCACCCTAGGGGAAAAACCCTGCTGCAGGCTTTCGATTGATAGCCTGCAGCAGGGTTTTTCCCCGCACTCATGAAGATCGCACGGACAGTGCCAATATACAAAAAGGGGGACCCCAACGTTCTGGCTAGCTATAGGCCTATCTCTTTGGTACCTGTCTTCGGGCAAGGTTCTCGTGATAGTAATAAAGGAACAAACCTGCAATTACTTTGAGTCAAACAACCTTTTTAGTAACTCGCAGCACGGGTTTTGTCGGGGTAGGTCCACTACTGGAGCAGTTTCAGTCATTGCTGATAAAATAGCAAACGCTTTTGAAGACAGCGACTCAATATCTCTTACACTGTGTGATCTGAGTCGAGCGTTCGACTGTGTTCCTCCCTTGTAAATAAGTTTTTCGCTTTTGGTGTCAGAGGTAAAGCTCTCTCTCCATGCTTAGTAGCTACTTAAGTGACAGAAGACAAGTGGTTGACTTTAAGAGTGGAAAATCCACAGAAAGGGAGGTTCTACACAGAGTCCCTCAGGGCTCAGTTCTTGGGCCACTTCTCTTCCTGATTGCCATTAACGACCTGGGGTGGTATGGAAATCTTGTGCTCTTTGCTGACAATACTACCTTGTATACCAGAGGGAAAACACCGATCCGTGCAGCGGAGCAAGCGAAACATAATCTGAAAGATGTGGAGCTGTGGTTCCGGGCAAACAAACTGCCAAGACAATGAGGCCAAGACAAACTGGATGACTTGCACTCTGTCACGCACCTCAAACAACATCGGTTGGAGTGTTAGACTATTGGGTTTCTACCTTGACCCAACACTGGACTGGAGGGATCATGTCAAACATGTCTGTGCTAGGCTGGCTCGTGTCATATTTCTACTGAGGAGATTGAAGAAGTGTGTTACCGGTACAGGTTCCTACCTTGTTCTGGTGTACCATTCTATGTTTCATTGTCGTATCTCTTATGGCATACATCTCTGGAGACACGTTGCTGGAGCAGCCATAGTTTTGAAGCTCCAGAAGAAAGCTGTCCGTAGCATAACAAGCAGCCAATCGCCATGAGCATAGCAAACCCATCTTCGAAAACCTGGGCATCTTGACCCACTACATATGGGCATGCATGCAGGAAATCAAGAACAATGAATAGGGCCTGGTGGCCAGGGGTGACATACACAACTACAATACAAGTGGCCGAAATCAACTCGATGTACCTCGCACACGTCTCAGTAGAAATCAAGACTCATACCCTGGAAGCGCCATCCGTTTCTTCAACAAACTCCCAGCTAGGCCACAAAGACCCTTGCCAGTAGAAAGTTTAAAACCACCACAGGAAATTTCTTCCGTAAAAACCCTTACTACTCAACAAAGGAATTCCTGGAAGGTAGTTTGGATGAGCTAAATTAGTAGCATAGCGACCGCCATGAGCACCTAAAAGTATGTTTTTTCTTCACATATTTTAAAATTTGTGAGTCCTTGTGAGTTTTATACACATGTGCGGGAAATTAAATAAGTTGTTTTACGTTGACACAGCCTATTCCCATCATACGATGGATCAACGGCCAAGAAGATGGTATTTGTATAGCCTAACTTAAAGAGTTTATGGGCAAAAAATCTGAATAGGTTAAAATGTATAGACTAAGAGTAGGCCTTATTTGTAATTATTGCAATTTATTTATTTCAGGAAATAAAGTACAAGCTTTGTCTACTCTGTTTTCTGCTATGACTGTGAGACAAGCTGTCCCAGCAAGTCATGTACAAATAGTTATCAGAACATCAACTACAAGTTTCTTCAACAAATGTAAGTTAAAGCTATTTACTTGGTTAAGTTTTAAACTTAAATCATGGTTAAATAGTGATTTAAGTTAATTTAACTATGACTAAATAGCGACTTACGTTAGGCTTAAATGACTTGCCGTAACTTAAACAATAACCTAATATTGATAGGCCCCAATGATAAGGATTTTGGCCATAAGTTACATTGCAATTTCAACATACAATAGAGCCTTGATAAATCAAACCGCAATAAACTAAAATCCTAATAACTTAAATAATTTTTTGGAACTTTCATATTATACGGAGGCCACTTATTTTACAGCGCGCTGCGGCGGTTAGGTTAGGTTGGGTTATCATAAATATGTTTGTAGAACTTTCCTTGTTTCGTTATGAATAAAACGATACCAGATGAGTCATAAAAAAATTATAATAACCCAACTGAACCTAACCGTCACAGCTCGCTGTACAAGGTTGGCCTACGTATAATAAGAAAGTACCATTTTTTTAACTACCCCCCAGTAGGCTTTACAGCACTATACCACTTATGTTATTTTACCTCTTAAATGTTTCACAGATATGATATAGGTAACCTTGATCATTCAAACATTCAAACATCATCTGTTGAACTTTGATTCTTCCCATCTAGTATATAGATATTAAATTCTGAAAAAAAACCCTATAATAAGTTTACTTACAGTACACTCCCGATTAACAGAGGTTGTTGGGACCGTGACTACTTCGGTCGGATGACACTGAGATCACATAGATTTTGAGGTTAGTTACGGTACCTTATTATAAAGTTAAATACTTCATACATCACAGGGAATGAAAAATGATAATAGGCTATATCTAATTTTGATGCAACTCTTTTTTTTTATATTGTAGAGAATATTTTTAAAGAAAAAAATAACAAACCAACATGTTCAACACTTCTTCAATTGTCTTGAAAAACGTTAAACACAATATTAACTTATTATAACTATGATAAACCAATACACTACATTATTTAAAACTTAAAACTACGGAGGATCTTTCTAGTTTAAAAAGCATAAAATTACATTTTTTTAAAGTTTGACATGATAACTTAACACAGTGATGTTGACATCAACAAATCTTAATGAAGAAGACGGGTCACTGCTATTGTTTAGGTTCTGCAGATGGCTCATCTTGTCCAGTTTGCTATTCGCTGCCGGCCAACCTAGTAGCTATGTGTGATTTTAATTTTTAAGGTACTTAATGGTTATTCCAAGTACTGTATTCGTTTCAATAAATCGCAAATTAATTGCTATTTTTACGCTTCTTTGAATAGAAACATACTATAATAAAGTAATTATTGTTTTCCTACTGAAAACTAATATATATATATTTAGGCCAAAAACTACCTTGGATAACCCGAGGGCTCAGATAACTGGGGGTCAGATAATCGGGAGTGTTACTGTTTTGATAATTTTTTATTTTATCTTTTTATAGAAAAAATAGCTTAAGTCGTTGCTTAAGTCATTGAGTACAGTAAGCTACCTAATTTTACCTAACTTAGCTGTTTGTTTCAGTACCTGCAGAAAATTTGTGGAAGGGAGTGACAAGTGTCAGTAATGCAGGACGCAAACGTGGTCGAGCGTCAGGTGGCAGGAAGAAACACGCGAAAAACCTTAATAAAGGACAAGTGATCGGTGTTGGTTAGTATTGTCGGACAAATTATGTTTCTAGATTAGATTAGTTTTCTACAAAATGAACAAAATACCAGTGTGCATATTTCATGGTGACGATGGATGAAATATGAATAATGAAAGAATTAAATGACAACAATTCACATTCAGCTGATCTCTGT